TCCCAGGGTCACTACCTTTGGGAGCAGTACCTTCACGATTGCCTTGGCTACTTGCATGACAACAACCCCCACGGTAGATTTGCCCACACCAAAGTGGTTCGCGACTGACCGGTAGCTGTCCGGCGTTGCAAGCTTCCAGAGGGCTATGGCCACTCGCTTCTGGACAGTCAGGGCTGCTCGCATGCGGGTGTCCTTGCGCTTCAGGGCAGGGGACAGCAACTCACAAAGTTCGAGGAAAGTCCCCTTCCGCATGCGAAAGTTTCGCAGCCACTGGGATTCATCCCAGACCTGAAGCACTATACGGTCCCACCAGTCCGTGCTTGTTTCCCGGGCCCAGAATCGCCGTTCAACAAAATCCACATGCCCCATTGCCAACGTGATGTCCTGGGCGCTGGGGCTCGTGGTTTCTGACAGCTCTGTGCTACTCTCCGACTTCAGGCCATCACGGCGGTGTCGTAGCCTCCTCGCCTGATTACTCTTCATCTGCCTCAGGGAAAGGTGTATGATAAGCTGCGAGGTGTTGAGAACGGCCACAAGTGCAGCGATGGTCGCAGCGTGATCCATGATCGCAGTGCTGTGGCGTCCGCGCTGTCACTGACCAGAAAAGTGCGCGAACTGATTTCCCGCCGGCGCTTTCATGGAGGGAGGGAGGGCGTTAGTGACGGACGGATGACGACAAATTTTTTTTACCCAGAAGGCATTGGCGGCTCGACCCAGAATTCCGATGGGCAGCGGGGACTGAGGGAACTGTGGGATAGCTGCCCACAGTGCACCGCTTCCAATATCGACGCTCGCCCCGTTAGTGTGGACTCACAAAGTCGAATTACTGTCCTTAGTGTGTCCTTAGTGTGGACACACACGTTCGACTTTGCAATATCGATTCCACATATTCGATTTAAGTAAAATCGAATTACCCTCGTAGTGTAGACATACCCTTTGTCTTCATAACACTGAAATCAATCAGGTTCTTAAATGAAGAACTTTATTTAAAAGAAAAAAGTAAAAGAATCACACCTGCAAAATCAGGATGGAAGGTAACTTTACAGGGTAATAAAAAGATTTAAAACACAGAGGATTCCCCTCTGGGCTCAGCTTCACAGTTACAAAAACAGGAATGAAACTACCTCTATAGCATAGGAAAATTCACAAGCCGAACAAAAGATAACCTAACTCATTTCCTTCCCCTACTCACAGTTTCTGTGGTTTTAGATGGATTATTCCAGGTATATTTTCAGGAGATGTTGTACCTGTTTGGCTTCTCCCTCCGTCCGGAGAGGGAACAACACAGAGAACAAAAAAACAAATCCTTCCCCCCCCCAGTTTGAAAGCATCTTCTTCCCGCATTGGTCCTTCTGGTCAGGTGCCAACTAGGTTATCTGAACTGCTTAACCCCTTACAGATAAGGCAATCCAGTACAGCTGTCAAGAAGGGATCTGATGCTACTGCATCCATAAAGGTTACTACCCTTCCCCCTGTTCATGACAAGGGCCCTCTCCTAAACATTTTGAACATCAAGCGTGAACACCTGATGAAAAAAAAGACCATGGGGCCTGATGAACATATCTTGAATCTGTGTTTCTTGATCTTTGAATCAGCTACTGATGCGGAGCTGATACTGAACTAAAACTTAACTGTAATACTAACTACTAAAGACTAACTCGCTACAAGAAAAGGCACTTATCAAGAACTGCTACGATACACACAATCTGAAGAAAGTTCACGTCCGAGTCGGCGTTTGGAAGGAACTGAGGCAGCAACCTCTGCTGTGCCTCCTTTTATGGCCCGGCCATCAGAGCGCGCTTGAATGGTGAGAGGAGGTTTGGAAGGGTGAAGCAAGCACTCTATCAGGCACTGCTTACAGAAGGTTCTACCATTTTGCTGCACTGGTCAGCGTATATCCCAAGAGTGAGAATATGCAGTTACCCAATTTTTTTTTTTTAAATGGCCAAACTCCTCTTTTCCAGCAACTGAAGTGCAGTATTAAATTCTGGTCACATGGACACAAATATGGAGCCCCCAAAATTGGCTCCAGCTTCAGCATCCTGGTGGAAGTCTCAGAACCCTCTCCACTTTAGGCAGAGCTGCTGGCCTCTCTCTAAACCAGTATTCCTTGACCTCATTAGCACAATGTGCACACCCCCAACTCCCACCTCATTATCAGAAAGTTCTATTTTTAACTGTTTAAAGAGTTTGGGGTGAAGAGAAAAGAAAGTTTCCACAGAACATGCAGCTAGAAATCAAAACATGAGCATCATGCTTCTGCACCATTAAGAATGGTGTATGGAAATATGAAATTAAAATTAACAGAAAATAATAATTATTGAGATCAAACATTAAAAGACTGAGAAGATTCAGATTTTAGAGAGGTTGTAAACAAAAGGTGACAACATTTGGCAATAGCCTTGATTTCTACTGGGAGAGAGGATTCCAAAGAGGACAGATTAAAAATATCTGAGAGAAAGAATGGATGATGAGGTCAAAAGAAAATGGTGAAATAAGGAAAAAAGAGGGGCTTAAGAAAAAAAATAGGGAGCTCATATAGCCCTGCGCAGATACTAAATTTGTATCTGCATCCAATTCACGATCTGCAAAAATGATCCATGGATATCTGTGGATTTGCAGGGCTCTAGAGATCAGTTATGGCTGGATTGAATTTACACAGCAGTACGCCCTACAATATGACAAGCTGAAAACTCGGATACATGAGACCAATAAGTTTATGAGAGAGAAGAAAATGAATGAGTCTTCAGCACAGAAGTAACAAAACGTGGATGCAGGTGAGGTCATCAAAGGAAAAAGAAAGGGGAACACAGGCAGAACTCTGAGACTTATACAGAGAGGAAAGGAGAGGAGCCTTATCAAAGATGAGGCTGAAAGAGCAGTCAGAAAAATTAATGGAGAACCATGAGAGGAGAGGCCCATGAAAACAAAGGAACAGAGACGTCCAGGAGAAGGAAGTGATTAACACTATCTAAGAAAGGCCATGGAGGATGAGGGTGGAGTCAAAAACCAGACAGTTAGCCAGGGAGAACCATTTGAGCAGGGCCGGCTCTGGCTTTTTGGCCGCCTCAAGCAAAAAAACAAAAAAAAAAAAAAGGGGGGGGCGGAAAGGAAAAAGAAAAAAAAAAAATAAAAAAAAAAGCCGTGGCACGGCCGGAGCACGGGTGCAGGGGGACCGGCCCTGCATTTGAGATATTACTGAGAGAGGTTCTAGGGACAGGAGAGGGCAGCAACCAAACTGAAATGGATTTTAAGAGCACGTTCCTTTCAAAGAGATTGGAGTCAGTGACTAGTGTAAAGGAGACATGATTACAGGGAGAGATGAGGAAACAGAGACAAGAAGCAGAAGGAGCTAATGATGGATCTTGTTAATTTTCTCCTTCAAGTCTGCAAGGTCCTGGGCAGAGACACTGAAGACAGCTTGCTGTCTGTGTATACACACAATTATTGCAGTTGGTTTTAAAAGAAACTAACAGTTAATTTCATCAGCAATAAAATTTCTAGATAAAACAGGGTACAATTACAATCACAGTAATCAAATCTAGTTATTATAGGGATCAGGAAGGAACTTTCTTCCCCATATGTTTACAATTAAGTGATTCATCAGGTGCATAAGATATTATTTACTTTTAAAAATATCAACTACTGATGGATCACAGATTTGTTAGTATTACAGTAGCACCTACAAACTCCAACCAAGATCAAAGCTCCATTATGTTGAGCATTCTACACACACAGTCCATGCCCCAAAAGGGCTTATAACCTAAATAAACAAGATAAAAGGTGGGCTGGGAAATGGAGGCAAAGAGGGAACTCGGCCAAGGTCACGCAGCAAGTTCAGTGGCAGAGCTGGGAATAGAACCCAGGGAACTAGATTGGGACTCAGGAGACCTATCTAATTGATCATGCTATTTAATAGGTTAATTCAATATTACAAATCCTTTGTTCCTGAAAGAAGAGTGTGTTGTATGGTGGCAAACTGTGGTGCAAATGTGTGAACTGCCTAGAAAACTACATTAACAATGTATTTTGACATTGGTTGGTCATTCTAAACAGCATGTAACTAGTTTAATACATCACACTGTAAAAATGAAAAAATAACTTTTAACAAGCAAATTTTAGATTATCTTTTTGAGTTTGATAAATAACTTTTCTTTTCGGGTTTGCTTATTGAAATGTTTGATCTTCAATTTACTGATGCTTTCAATCCTCCCTAATAGTATATACAAGCACATACCTGCAAAAAACCCAAACAATTGCATTGCTAGATCTCTCTAGTAGATACATAATAGTATACTTCAGAAATATATGGTGCCTTCCAAAGTGCCTGAAACAGTCCTCAAAAGAACTACTCATATTAAAGTAGCACAATAACTGAGTGACAAAAGACTTCCCAGTGTTATAAAGAAAACCTCTCTGGGCAGGGGACTTGGGTTTTTCCAGTGCAATGTGGCATCACAACTGGCACTGGGAACTGAAAGAAGTGTCAGCATCAAGTGAATCATTTCTGAGTCTGAATATAACCTGGGCTTTTGAACATGCAGACAAACTCTCATGTGAAAGCAAGATTTTCAAAATAGTTCTGGGACAATCTAGAAGCTAGTTTAGATCCCTACTTTAGAATGAAGAGTTAATAAAAGGGAACAAAACCTCAGGCTGCTATGCATCCTTAGAGATTTCCTAACATAACATTACTTTTAACATCAAAAAAGGAAAATGTTGGCAACTAAAAAATTTATCATTTCTGTTGTGTTTCCACTGTATATTCCCAATCCCTTCAATTCTAAAGGAAAACAATCTCCACCAAATTTAGATTATAAATACTCTTAGGACTTATCTACACAAGGAAATTAGTGTGGAGTGAGATAGGGTGTGAATGCGTCTATGCAGTGAGTTAGTGCAGAGTAGGTAGTGCACATTAGCTACTCCAGGCTTTCTTCCCCTGTAGACAAGACCTTAGCCAGTTACAGAAAAGTCTCTCATCAGATCACCTGGCTTACCCTGTTAAACACTGGCAGCATCATGTAAAGTTTTTCTTCCTGTTCTTTCTGGGTCATGTGCCGAGGAGGATGACAAAGTTCTGTGAAGAGTCGGCGCAGGTGCATCAACCCTAGAGCATTATCCTGAGGGCTACACTCCTCCTGCCGTGGCCGGCCCATGATTCTCTTGACCATATTCATCTTTGCTGAATTCTGGAAATCTCTTTCTATCCTGTTTAGAAAGGAAAATGAACTACTTGAGTAAAACTCATACAATAATGACAAATATATTTTTCACATTTAAAAAATAAATAAAACAAGTTCAAAAATGCACCCTCCCAACTTAATCATAAATACTGTAGTTAGATTTTTTTAAAGGCCTATATAATTTCATGTACTGTAACAACTGGTATGATGTGTTCCAAGATGGGGAAAAGTGGATCTTATGTTTCAGGCTTCAAGTTGATAGCATTTCAGTACTGCTGTTTGTAAAATATGAGCTCTTTTGGAATGAAGATGTTACAACTTTAAAATGCTACTGAACAGTCTAATACTTTACTCCTACAAGTATACCGTATGCCAAGTGTCCATTTTAATTTGAGATTTTATTCTAGAAAATAAATGTCCACACCACATTACTAATGTGAATTCATTCATTACTATAAGAAAATAATTCTAATGGAATGTATTATTAATATTTAACTTCTTAAAAGATAATGATAAAAGATTTCAGAGTCCAGAAAAAGCAAAAGCTGATATATTCTTCTCATAAACTGGACCTTAATATTTTTTACATACTTAATCTACAGTCTAGTCAGACACTTGGAAAAATGGTACAGTTCTATTACATGTCAAGCCAGGCCTACGCAACATCCTGCCAAGCTGCAAGAGACCAAAAATCAGGCATGGACCAAGACTGATGCTAGCAAATAATTTTGTACAATCACAGAATTTTAAAAACGTAGGGCTAGAAGGGACCTGGAGAGGTCATCTAGTCCAACCCCCTGCACTGAGGCAGAACCAACATACCCAGACCATCCCTGAGAGTAGTTTATCTAACCTGTTTGTAAAAACCTCCAGTGATAGGGATTTCATAACCTCCCATGGAAGCCTATTCCAGTGCTTAATTATCCTTATAATTAGAATGTTTTTCCCAATATCTAACCTAAATCTCCCTTGATTAAGCCAATTACTTCTTTTCCTTCCTTCAGTGGATATGGAGAACTATATGAAATATGAAATAATTCAGTGGACATGGAGAACTATAGATAATATAAAAAACATTTATAAAACAAGGAGTTAAATTTAAAAAGTCAGCCTTTTCTTTCAAATCTACAAGTCAGCAGTTGTCAGAGCATGCTGGAGAGTCTGAAAAGGCCTGTTGAATGTGAAAAGACATGATATGACAAAACCACAGAAGTGAAAAGTCCATACAGTCATTAAGTTTATTAAACCTTAAATCAGAGTGATTCATACATAGTATTGTTCAAATTGAAATAGAGTCAGTGCTAGTCAGAGCCCCAAAGCTATTCCCAAACTCTTGAATATGACTTAATTATGTTACTGTCATTAGTACAGTAATGTGAAAACTCAAAAGACACCAAAATAGAGTATTCTGTCTCAAACTGAAAAGGGAAATTTTAAAGGCCCAAATGAACACAGTTGAACAGAAAAACTCATTTATTTCATTTTAATAAAACCATCAAAAATTATTTGCTTTAAATGAAGTCAGAAAACACTAGGAACTCTAAACAAAGTAATAAATCAGTTTCAGGCTGTCAAGCCTAATGGATAACAGCAGAGCAAAATAGTGCTATAAGGGAGACAGATTTGGATGCAATCTTGGGCCTTTTGCATATTGACTTAGTGGATAGGAGTTCCTTTCACATCCTTCTTAAGCATACGCCAACAGAAAAGCCATCTAGACTGCCTTGTTAAACCTACCCAAACAGCATGCTATGCAAAAAAGGAAGACTTGCATCTTCCTATATACTTCACCTGCTGATTATAAAAAACAAAAACAAAAACTTGCTAATCAGAAGTCTTGATTAAGATTAGATACTGGCGTGAAGAAATATAAACGGCTATCAGAATATGGATATGCTGACAACAATCATGCACTGTACCTCTGTAGTTGGATTTATGTTTAAGGCAAGAGGCAATGGATTAATAAGATCTGGGTTCCAATTCCATCTCTATCTGAATTCCTATGTGGTCCTGGGTAACTCAAGCTCTCTGGACCTCAGTACTCTTATCCATAAAATGGAAATAATAAAAAGTTACCTACTTCATAGGGGTGTTCTGCAAATATATTCAGTAGTGTTTTGTGGCATACTGATACGACAGTGATGGAAGCCATATAAACACCTACACAGCTAGATCAGGAAGACTAGGTTTTCCTTGCCCAACTTCCATGATTCTATTCAACATCTCGGTCAGTCAATCTGTGATGCATACTGTAGGAATATGGGCCCACATTAGATCTGAGTGAACTATGGTTTTAAACTGAGCTTGGATGTTAGCATCAGTGGTACGCCTAAAGCCTATGACCACGAAGAATGAGAAGGAAGAGTTGTTTGTGTTACACTTGTAGTGACCCTTGAAGTACCAGTGTTATCTTATATAAGGTTTGGGCTAATAGAAATAAAGAAAACATGATAAAATGGGTAAATAGTTGGCTATATAGATTTGTTTAACATATTATAAAGAAATGCTTTATCAGGCCTTTGCTAAGGTCTGATAACCAGCAATGGCATCACTTGTTTATTATAGTGTATACAAAGGAAAGGTTTTCAGGGGTTTCTTCGTCAGAGCTTTTCCTCACCCCTCTGGAGACACACCAAGATGAGAAGGTATTCCTCAACCTCTGATCCTGTTGTGAGTATTTGGGCCAATACTTTTAAATGTATTGTTGATAGGATAGAGTATAGGTATGTACATGCTTATATCTGTATTTTGGATGTACTCTATACCAAGTAGCCTTTGGACTAATAAAGGAATGTTTGTGTGGACACTACGTCATGGAAAACCTTAATAAACTTTAGGAAATTATTTCCAACACATACAACAGTTAAACAATCACCTGCAGCATCCCATGTATCTTACAATTCCACAGCCATGACTCTTTTAAACATTTTTATGTGGGCAGTTTACTAGGCTTCTAAAAATATATATATATTAAAACAAATTCTATTATGTGGCATCACACAACACCCACATAAGGTCACCAGCAGGTTTGGAACTTTTAGATTCCCCTCACAGACCTCTGCCGCTTGTGCTAATAAAGTAACTGATAGCAATAATAGGTTGTTATTAGTGCTGTCAATTAATTTCAATTAATCACTCTGTTAAACAATAGAATACCAGTTGAACTTTATTAAATATTTGTGGATTTTTTTTTGCATTTTCAAATATATTGATTTCTATTACAACACAGAATACAAAATGTACAGTGCTCACTTTATATTGTTTTTTATTACAAATATCTGCACTGTAAAAATGATAAAAGAAATAGTATTTTTCAATTCACCTCATACAAGTACTGTAGGGCAATCTCTATCATGAAAGTTAACTTAAAAATGTCTATTTTTTGTTACATAACTGCACGCAAAAAAAAACCAATGTAAAACTTTAGAGCCTACAAGTCCACTCAGTCATACTTCCTGTTCAGCCAATCGCTAAGACAAACAAGTTTGTTTACATTTATGGGAGATACTGCTACCTGCTTCTTATTTATGTCACCTGAAAGTGAGAACAGGCGTTCTCATGGCACTTTTGTAGCCAGCGTTGCAAGATATTTACGTGCCAGATATGCTAAACATTCGTATGCCCTTTCATGCTTCAGCCTCCATTCCAGAGGACATGCTTTGATGCTGATGATGCTCGTTAAAAAAATAACACATTTATTAAATTTGTGACTGACCTCCTTGGGGGAGGACTGTATGTCTCCTGTTCTGTTTTACCTCCATTTCATGTTATAGCAATCTCAGATGATGACCCAGCACATGCTGGTTTTAAGAACACTTTCACAGCAAATTTGACAAAACGCAAAGAAGATACCAATGTGAGATTACTAAAAATAGTTACAGAACTCGATCCAAGTTTTAAGAATCTCAAGTGCCATCCAAAATCTGAGAGGGACAAGGTGTGGAGCATGCTTTCAGAAGTCCTAAAAGAGCAACACTCTGATGTGGAAACTACAGAACCCAAACCACCAAAAAAGAAAATCAATCTTCTCCTGGTGGCATCTGACTCACATGATGAAAATGAATATGCGTCAGTCCGCTCTGCTTAGGATCGTTATCAAGCAGAACCTGTCATCAGCATGGATGCACGTCCTCTGGAATGGTGGTTGAAGCATGAAGGGATATATGAATCTTTAGCGCATCTGGCACGTAAATATCTTGCGACGCTGGCTACAACAGTGCCATATGGACGCCTGTTCTCACTTTCAGGTGACACTGCAAACAAGAAGCGGGCAGCATGATCTCCTGCAAATTGTAACTAAACTTGTTTGTCTGAGTGATTGGCTGAACAAGTAGTAGACTCAGTGGACTTGTAGGCTCGAAAGTTTTATATTGTTTTATTTCTGAATACAATTATTTTTTAAACATAATTCTACTTTTGTAAATTCAACTTTCATGATAAAAAGATTGCACTAAAGTACTTGTATTAGGTGAATTGAAAAATACTATTTCTTTTTTTTTACAGTGCAAATATTTGTAATAAAAAATAGATGTAAAGTAAGCACTGTCAATTTTGTATTGTGTTGTAACTGAAACCAGTATATTTGAAAATGTAGAAAACATCCAAAATTATTTAAATAAATGGTATTCTATTATTAACAGTGCGATTAATCACACGATTAATCACGATTAATATTTTTTAACGCTTGACAGCTCTAGTTGTTTTCCTTTATGGGGATGAAGCACACACTTGGCTATTGGGGTGCACAGGTATTTGATGAGAGCAGAGGAATGGTGAGAACCAGGAATCTTGCACTCCATTCCAGGCTCTGGTCACTCAGGGTATGTCTACATGGGGATAAAAAACCCACATCTAGTCCAGGTCAGCTGACTCAGGCTTGCAGGGCTCAGGCTTCTGTGCTGAAAAATTGCTACGCAGACATTTGGGCTCGGGCAGAATCCCGAGCTCTGGGACCCTGCAAGGATGGAGGGTCCCAGAGCTGAAGCTCCAGTCCAAGCCCGAACATCTACACAGCTATTTTTAGCT